ATATATGATATGATACGATTAATTGCATTTTACACTAATAAAGATTTTGCTCTTCTCGGCACTTACAAAAAAAAAGAGATATTTATGTTGAAACAAAAATAGGAACAAATTTTTCTAAACGTATTCTAGAATTATTACTATTAATAATAATATAAAAGGAATGAAATGTTATTATATACGTGAATTTAGATTGGTAAATTTTTATAGTAGATGCAATTCGCAGAATTATTACCGTATAATTTTAACGATAAGTACGTACACACACATAGACACATTCACGCGCAGATGTGTTTATGATATGTATATGTTTATAATATGTATATCTATGCGTGTATAGTACTCTTGTATAAGATTAATTGGATAGCGTTTTTAAAGAGAAAACACGATCAGTGACCTTCTACTAAATGTGAGAGTTTTGTTAATCGTCCAGTCACTTTTTCTTTACTTTCTTACCTATTGTAAAGACTTTTTTACAACGTATAGGATGTTTTATTTATCCTCCAGTTAAACGTTCGATGCATTCCAAAATTTCCTCCTTTCTCAAACACTTTGATTTGTTCTCGATCATAGATCTTGCATGATGTAACGTATTATATTTTAAACGGTCTACGGTTTGTTCCAAATTTGATAAATTCCTTTCGATGGCACGTTTTTCGCTATTTAACATCTGTTTGATCGATGAAACTTTTTGTAGAAAAATGATATTCATTTTATAAGAAAATGATCGAGTACATACCGTATGGCCAACGTTTAATCGTAGAAAATCGCGTATTTGAGTGATCGAAGTTTGCGTATAATTATCACGTTTTCGTGTTAACACAGTTTGAGTGGCACAGTTAATACCGTTACGTTCGATTTTAATGGACGTTGAAAGATTTTTTAAGAGTATTACAACTTTATCTGGCGAACTTTCATGATATTTCTCCTCGCAATCGAAAATTTCCAATTTTAAGTGTGCCACCTTTGTACTAGTCATAGGCGAATGTTTGATTTTCATTTGCCGAGTGTTTGAGAATCCGATCACATATTCATCATAAAAAATTCCATTTTTATGTGATTCAATGCAGAGGACTTTTTTATCAACGCTTTTGGACACGATGTCCTTATTTTCAAGATTACATCTCGTTGAAGAACATTTTTTACATTTTGTCAAATCGTTTGTAACTGTTTGCTTCCTTTTAAAATCATTTGTAAGATTTTGTATGTCGTTGTTTTTTTGCGAGCTCTCATCGGTACTTTTGCTTAAATCGTTCCGAGTCTATGATTCAATCACGAAATGAGCTTTGTAATATTTTTATTTGAGAATAATTGATTGGAGTTAGTACCTTTCTCTTGAGACTCTTGATAATTTCTCGCAGTACTAAATTTTGAGACTTCAATTTGTCTGTTTCGTTATCGCACTCTCTCTCATTGACTTTCCAAGTAAACTGTCTCAGTTTCTTTACAGCTTGTTCGAAGTGTGGTTCGACTTTGGTTAAATTTGCCACGGCTGCGGAAGTAAGCTGAAAGGTATTTTCAAGAACTTGGAAAATCGTCGATTATAAACTCACCTTCTGCGGTAAGGCGACACAAGGTTTTAACGTCGAGATCGAAGTGCTCTAAAGTTTCCAACAAATTTGCTAATTCGCGAGTTCTCCTTTCGAAGGATACCTTTTCTCTCGCGTTTTCCTTTATTTTTTCGTCGAGTCGACATATCTAGACAAAAATCTGCTTGATTATTCTAAAAAGCGAATTGCTCGATTAATGACATTTACGTGAACCGCGAGGAAATTTCGATGCACGTATATTTGTATTGGCGTAATATATTGGGAAACACATCGTCTCTCATCGGAAATTAAATAGAAATTACTATTTCCGCTCGACAGAAATCACGAATTAAATTATACGATCGGATAGTTCGTTATATTAGATTTAGGGAATTAGATTTTGCACCGAGAACGTTTAGCTCGTCTAAATGGAAGACAGAGGACCTCTGGATTTCTCTATATCGAGTAGAGTATTGCTGTAAATGGCGAAAAGTAGAGTCAAGAGGAAGTACTTTGATCCTAAAGCTTTTCGCACGCGGACCACGATTGTAATCGAAATTGCATTCTCGATCCTTGAAAGGGAGTATCGTATGGACTTTGAATTTACAACCGCGAAAGGAACTTGGGAATTACATTTACTTTGTCCTATCGAACATCTCTTTTACTTCTCCTTCTTTGTCCGCTTATCAATTTGATAAATATTAAAGATACATAAATATACCTTTTCTTTTGCTTCATTGTAAAAAACGAATAATTCGTCGTGCTTTTTCTCCACCTCTTCGTATCGCATATTATTTTTCCAAATATTTTCCCGCTTCTCTTCAGCAGATTTTTTCGCGTCTTTGACCTCGTTTCTGAAACGAGAATAGTTTACTCGGTGATATTAAAGAAAGATTTTCCTAGTCTAGCTGTTTTTTTCTTTCTTTCTTCAATAACGACAAAATTCTATGTAGGAGTATTCGATAGATTGATCGATCTCAAGTCATAGCGCGGATACTCGCATTTGGAATAACGAGACGAAGCCGTCAGCGATTACGCAGCTTTACTCACTCTTTTACCCTCACTATCACTATCGCAGCATAAATTATTGTGGGCGTAATCGCGCAGACAAACGATCGTTCTGCGCTCGGCTTAATCCTTCGTGTACTGCGTTGGAATACGAAATGTTGGGGCTCTTTCCCTCATCCTCTCTCATTCTAGATGAGTCAACAAACTAAGACCATTAACCGTAAACACATATATTCTGTATATATACCACCAGGTAGGTCTGTTTGTGAATTTGCATCAACTCGAGCTCGATCGTACGACACGCTTAACACGATTGCCGATCTACTTACTTACTTTCCCCTTTACGATAACAGAAGAGGACATTAGAATACTTAACAGCGAGTTCAAATTATTCGATCTATCGAATCTATCTATTTATCTATCAGATTGTCGTTCGAATTTCTTCTTTGAAAATTTCCTTCCCTTATCTTCGCGTGTCCCTTGCCTGTAGCGATTTATCTGACCGTCTCAACGAAATTTATCACGTAAACGTGTGTGCTACTATTGTATGCGTCCCTCGTTCGTGTGTGTGTACACCACCCTGTTTCCTGCCTCGTGTCAAGCTAGATATGTATAACGATAAATAACCATATACATAGATTGCGTCTCACATCAGTTTATAATGCACGCATAAAGACGCCGTGTGCTTTACGTGCTTAAATGTAACTCCTCACACTTTCATCCTGACCATAAGCACATTGAATAATTATTCCGAACACTTTCAAGGCTTAATATTAACGATAATAACGAGGACGAAATAGTTTTTGTAAAAGAATTCGTTCTAAATTTGACTTATTTAACCAATTTAGTCTTCCAACTAAAGTTTCCTTCCCCGACACTTTATTATTATACATAGTGTTTCTCTGAACGGACTTCGAGCACGTTTCGAATGAAATTTATTTTTACAGAAGAACGCGAAGCATATGGAAACGCTTTTTCACGAGAATTTTTGTTTTGTTTCGTTTCATTTCACAAACGATTTCGTTTATTGGAACGAGTACCGCGATCCTAGATCCGCGATTGATTTCGGTTGGAAAAAGATTATGACACGGCCTCGGGAACCAAATTGGGAGAGGAGAAAGAAGGAAAAGGACAAATGAAAGAAAGAAAGAAAAATGGAAATTGTTCGTTGGATAAACAAAGCTCGGCACGTTGGAAGGTATTAATCGTTGTTGAATTTTTCAAGCCGATATTCAATATGATACCACGAATCGCACGTGCCGATCAAATATGCCAGCAATTGAATTTCTCACGGATTCCTTCTCCTATAGAGATTCGAGATACTATTCGTTCGTACGATAAACGGGGAGGAATGAGGGAATGCATGTTCGATCCAGTGCGACTAATCAAGATTAATGGGAATCGAGATAGATCGATGTATCTTTTCTTCACGACTTTGACTATCCAATGTATATATTATAATTTTAGCTATATACTCTACAAGACGGTTCATTATTCAATCCATTCTATTTCCGTTTTTACTTATCAATCCAGTCATGAATGGTATATGAATTTTGTTTGTCAATGTTTCGTTTTTAAATGTACAAGACCTCTTTTGTAATAAAATATATTCAAAAGTATAAGATATATATATATATATATATCGTAGGAGACAGAATTGAAGACGTAAGTAGAATCGATCAAAGGAATTTGGATCGTTACCTCGTCCTATGAGCTTTTATTCGTTCACGCATTGCCGTGTTCTTCCAAAGGTCTCTTTCGTTTTCCGTCTCTTTCAACTTTATTTTCATTTCCGTGACGTCTCGCAAGCATTCCTCGGCGAATCTTTGAATCTCTGAAGATTAATCGACCATTTTTTCTTTTCTTCTCCTTACCCTTAGACGGGGTTTTTCGTTAGTTCGTGTTTTGTCGCTATATAGATAGAATGACTCTCGATATCGAGGAGATCAAATATAGCACGCGAATAAAAAAAACCAACTAAATTTCCTAACCCACGCGCGATTCAAATTACTTTCGATTGTTAACGTTAAAGTTCCTATCCGCGTTCACTCCTACCTTTATTTTCGATCGTCGAACGATCCAATCGCAAGTCTTCTCGATGCTTCTGCGATCGCAATTTCATTTCGAAAGTCTCCTGCGTTTGGACAAACTTAGTATCGATCTCTTCGAGCTCTCTACGAAATCGCAATGAATTCTTTTGTCGTTTCTCCATAAACGCTACATTTATAAGTTATTCTCTCCCGAGTTTTGTATATTTCATCGAAAAGAAAAAGGAAATAACGATACCGCATTCAGTCATTTTCCGTGGAAGAATTGACGTGTAATAACATTGTTTCACAGTAAAACCATTCTGCTCTTTTGCTCCATAAACAAATATGACGTAACCTCGACGTAACCTTCGAACAGAACTTTCCGATTCGTTTGACGCCAGTGGTGTATGCGAATCCTCTCTTTCTATCTCTTTCCTGACAAGCTGCATTCGCTGCAAGTTGTCCGCAGAAAGAGTTAATCGATCAAGAACGGATCGAACTATTCCCGCTTGATGCTTCTATCTATCGTTAAGCTTCGACGTTTTTTTTATAATGTTGCTTTCAAATTTGACGCGTCCGAATTTCACACCGAACGGATATTGTCATATTTTTGTATCGTTTATTTTTACAATATAATTTACTGTCTTTTACCAAACCCCACCCCCGCCGATATAATATTATTATAATATGAAAATCTTCATAGCAGTTATTTATGTACCGACGTAAATTATAAGTTTTTAAATTGGTACTTCGTTCCAAATTGAAAACCACTGGAGATCAATTTGAAATTGTTAAATAATGTAAATTAACTTAATTAAAGGTTACATGCTTTACGAATAATATTTCAAATGCGCATGACTAAAGTTCAAAATCTCTCTGCGTATTTGTAATTTTCCTGTAATTATGATTCAGCATTGTTATAGGTATACGTCACGCCCTACGGGGGTAAATATACTGGTTAAAGATAATGTTACGTGTCGCATGGTAACCGATTAAATATAAATTCGATGTAGAGAAATGTAAATGACTTTGGTAAAGAACACCGTGGAGCCAAAGGGTTAAATATCTTCCTGGGTGTACACGGAGAAAATGCAGAGAGAATGGAGTTTTCTCTTTGTTCGTGATACGTGGTACGCGCGTAGAAAAGAAAAGGAAAATAAAATGGTAGAAAAGAGAGAAAAGAAAGGATCCTCCTTGTTACACGTTAATGATCTCTCACCAGTCTCATTTTTCACGATGGAAACGAAATACGAAAATAGTAAGTCTGCAGGGACATCATCGTTGTGCACGTTGGACATTCCGGATGTTATAGTTTGCATCTCCTATTTCGAAAACAACAATGTCAGACATTAATAAACGCGCGAGAATATGCGCGTCCTGTCGCGTCTCGTTACAACACTTTCAATGCTTTCTGGGACAAAAAAGAGAAAGATCGAAAGCTACCTCGACGTTGGACTCGACTAACCGAAGCAAATGCTAATATAAGAGGAAAACTTTTGGATTTTTCTTCGAGTTTTTCTTTGTTTTTTTTTTTAAATTACCGATGCACAATTTAATTCATTACGTCATTGCCGGTATTGTTCGTTAATCTCTCAAAGATTTACCTTTATTCCCCAAAGGAGAATTTCTTTATTAATCCGGTAAATCGCGCTCATTGTTCGCGATTCGGTTGATCTTTCGCCGCGATCTTTCCCGTATTACGAAGGTGGAATATGGACTCGATTAAAAGTTTCAAGACTGATTTCAAAAGCGAAATATGCTCGAGCGAAAGTTTCGAGGGTTTAGACGACCGTGGATAAAAGTTTTGGTGGACCGAGAGTCATTGGTGGACCAAGAAAAAAGGCAAACAAGATCATCCCCTTTCCTTTTTCTTCCTTATCTTTTTCTTTTTTTTTCTTTCCTTGTTTTCCTTTTCGTCCTTTTTCTTTTTTCAAAGAAAACGCTAAAGTTTCAACGTCGAAAGGAGGTCCTCTATCTCGAGATAAAATCTACTCGTTCTACTACTGCGTTCTTTTCAATCTCGATCCTGTCGAATTTTAATGAGCTTCTCGTAGCTTTTCGATGACGCTAGACACACCGTACGTTTCCGCTCAGACGATGACATGTAATTCGCTTTCTCGTACCACTTCTGCACGTACACTCGTTCAGGTAGCAACAGGTATAAGAAGAAAATCTTCGAGTAAAAAGGTTGATAGCGAGAAGATGACCGTCGTCTTATTTTTTCTCCTTCTTCTTCTATTTATGGAAGAGAGAGAGACAAAAAAATAATAAGAAGATGGCCTTTGGCACGAAATACTTTCTCCTCGGCCTAAAACTCGGATACCAACTGAGAAATGAGAGTGGTGATAAGGTTGCTTGGTGGTTCGAGTCAAGTACTAGCTTGCAAGTTCGAGTTTTAACGAGACTTCATGCGAACAAAGAGATAGAAAGAGGGATGCAGAAGGAAGAGGGGAAGGGCCAGGGAGAACTCTCAATGATATTGACCCACACGTACAAACGCAACAGGTTCGTCTTTTTTCAACCGTGTGGGATACTTTTCGTACGAATTAGCTGAAAGACGTGGGTACTTAAAATGCGTCCCGCCTATGTGCGTTAATCACCAACCCTTCTGCATCCGAGTACGTACTTTTGCAACATTATTTTCGAGAGATCTTTTCGGAAGGCTCGAGGACTATTATGATTGTATTTTGACATTTGTTAAGGGGGAGAGGGTAAAGTTAGAGTAAAATAGAAAGGGAAGATTCTTGTTTGTAGAATTTTTCAATCGATATCGCATAAAGTAAACGCGGTTAACAATAAGTAAATGCACGGCGAGACATCGAGTAGACGGCAAAGGAAGTCGGCCGCCGTCTATGGGGATTATTCGAGTAGCTAATCGATCTAGCTTCAATTCTGGAGACAGATGGGGAACAGACAACATTCCATGTAATTCCGCGTCGTCCAGAGGAGTTGGAAGCAACGCGTAGAACGTCACTAGAATCATGGTTTTCGGAGGTATTAAGTACCATTGTTAGATGACGTTCGAGAATTTAACCGAGGAAATATCTCCGTGTTTCTCTCCGTGTCAAACCTGACACGGATATTAAATGTCTTTTACTTTAAACACGTAGGTTTCATCGTTCCACACAAACGAGTTGTCGAAACTTTCCTATGAATATGTTTTTATTATTATCACCGTTATTTATTGTCAAACGCGGTACGTATGTAAGTAGGGATTTTACGACAGGTCGGAAATGAAATAACGCATCGGATGGGCCGTGGCGCTTCTTTTTCTCTCTTCTCTCCCTAGGATCAAATTTCATTACCATAATTATATTAGGTTTTATCTTACCGCAGCAGACGAGCGTGAAACACGGTTTATTGTTAAACCTCATCTCGTTTCGCAAGATATCTAAGCGCGAACGTTCTATTTGATTGGAATTTTCCTAAGCAATTGAATTTAATAAAGATATAGAAAACAATGAGAACCTTTGGTTGAATCGTTCGACGTTTACGTGCATGGTAAAACGATCTCGCTTTTAAACTCATAGGGTATACTCTCGAGTATGATTTGTAAATTCATCCCGAGCATCGATAGAAACAGAACGCATAAATGTATTTCCTACAGTTGTAATTATTTCAAGTTGAAAAGAGGCCAGAGGGAGGGAGGGAAGCTTATTACGGCAAATCGTAGTGCCGTGAGGTATTTAATTAGCACCGATTATCTATCAACCGATCATTGAAAAGCTCTCGACGAATTAACAACGCAACTGTCGTTAATAGGAAGCCGCGTGTATATGTTTTCGATTGCTCGGAGGAAATCCATTAAAACTGGTATACCACTCGCAAGTAACCCGATTTTCGGTTGAAAAAACACATTCCATTAATTTGAACGAACTCGTCGAGTAGTTTGCCTAGAATATTTATCAATTTATCGAGTCATTCTCATCGAGTCATTCTCATCGAGTCATTCTCATCGAGTCATTCTCATCGAGTCATTCTCATCGAGTCATTCTCATCGATGCACGATCAAGCGAACGCGAGGAGATTCGCGGAATGAGACGAGAGCTCGTTGTTGTTTTACCTTTCCATTTAGTTACCGTTCATTTCTCTTCGCGCTTCATTTAACGTTGGATTCCATCCGGAACTTTCATTAAGAGTACACTTTCGTTCCGTCTCCACGAACGTCCTGATTTTAATCTTACCAAAATATTTACGCTTCTTTACTTGAAAAGGAGAGCAAATGAAAGAGAGAAAGAGAGAGAGAGAGAGAGAATATGGAATGCAGGATCGTTTCAATCAAGAAGGACAAATCCTCTAATTTATAAGGGTGGCAACCAAGGGAAGCGAGAATCTTTTAGGGAGTAAAAGGTAGAAAATAAAAAATAAGAGTCGCAGGATCGGACATCGAAGAAGAAGAATAAGAATAAGAAGAAGAAGGTATAGTACCCCCCGAAGGTGTTAGCTCGAGCGAGTTTCGAGGTGAAACGCGTGCGCGAGCGGTTTTAATCGGAGACGGAGGGAAGGGCGAGGGCGATGGCGAGGGTGAGGGTGAGGGCGAGGGTGAGGGCGGGGGCGCGGTCACGGGGCAGAGTACAGTTGCTCCCCAGTTGGCTTTGATACGCGTTCCGCGACTGTCCTCCCGCATCTCGACTTTTCTCTTAACCGCGTTCTTTCCTCGGAGTCGCCGTTCTCTTCCTGTCGTGTCGCCAGACAACATAAATCATCCCTCGTTCTTTCTCAAGGGAGAATAACGGGAAGGGTTTGGAGCAACAACCAGGAGGAGGAGAAGGAGCAACAACATTCGAAGGAAGATTCTCACCGTCGGGAAGATGCGACACGAAGGAATGCGCGAATCTTTCCTGGTAAAATATTTTTCTAATTTTTCTTTGTCTTTTATTCTCCTTTTAAATCATCTTCGATAATCCATTATTATTTGTTGTTGTTGTTGAATTATTCGCATTTTATTCTTTACATTTTTGCGAGATGGGTGGAATTTTCTAACGGACAAAGAAACCGATCTATCGATCGATCGATCGATCGTGATCTTGTTACCACGAACGAACGACGTATTCGTTTGATTTCTTTTTATTTCTCGTTGGAGCATTCGACGTCTCGGTGCCGTGACGGCAATTGGGTATCGATTCTCATTTCGCTTATACACGAGGCACATCGTGTATAAGCGCGCGTCGGTCCTACCTCCAACCCTATTTACAATAATACACGTCTGACGAAATAGCTGAGGACGCGAGGGTGAATAACTATCGCGGGATTTTCCTCTTCTTGCTTTTTCCTCCTTTTTCGAATTTTTCGAAGGCAGAGAGACAGAGAGAACACGCTCGTAAAACGCCGATTCATTTCTTCCAACAAGTTAAATTGATCATTCGCGAAATGGGAAGAAATGCGAATAGTCGATAATATTTATCTTTCCAAAGTATCTTCTTTCCTATTATACGAGCTCGAATAACTACGAAAAAAGTCATTATTTTCTTAATATTTTGCATTTTATATCGACAATGAGTCTCTTTATTTCTCTTTATTTTTTTTTATATCAAGCTACGATACGGTCAAAAGTTTTAACTCTAATTTGATCATGCACGACGATTTGTTATTCCATATTAAAGTTGAATCGCGTAAATTCTTGAACGAATAACTATTAAAACGATTCTCGATTTGGGTCGTAACGTGATCGAGCTAACATTCCCGCTCTTTAAATCATGATTTTCTTTTCTGCTATTCGTAAGTTTAATAAAATTCATTCCCTTTTCTCTCCTTTCTCTCTATTTCTTTTTGTCTCTGCTTTTCCATAGATATCTATTTATTTCTCCTTTCGTTCGATATTTACACCTACATAAATACGTAGTTACTCATACATATGCGTTGGCACGTCGAGTAACGTGATGAATGGTGCGTCAACGTCACGAATTTCCTATACCGTCGATCATGACAAATCCGATATGTTTCGAGTTCATAAAGAGATTATTAGCCGACGCTTTAACATCATTTTCTTCGGGTATCCTTAGAGATATTTTTTCCTTTCGCTATTAGGAGTCATCGTTCGTTATGACAAAAGAAAGCGGTATAGGGTTGAAAGGATAAAATCGATCCGTCCGATCAGTATACTATAGTCTTTCGTGGTATGCCGTCCTGGATAAACAGGGAAAAGAATGAGTAGGATAGAGGAGGAGAAGGAAGGAGGAGGAAGATAAAATGATACAACGGAAGAACGTTAATGGCTTGTGTGTCTAGGTTCAAAGATATTTTCGGTATTTGCGTTCTCTTTTCCGTTCATCTACCTGCAGTAAACGGAATCCAGAATATCGAGGTTGGTGCCGACATTAGCCGGAGATAACCATTAACAGCGTTTTCCTGGCCGTTGCGCGAAATCCACGCGAGCTAAAACTCGAATCACGTGGTACTTCCATTTTCACCGAATTTTATTCTTTCTTTTCTGTTTTTTTTTTGTTTTCTTTTATCTAGGTACAAATTTACCCAACGACTTGGCACGCTTTTTGTTTCTTTCTATCTGAACGTTAGTTGTGTCAGACAATCGAAACGAAAAACGACAAAGGGAATATGATTAATTATATTGTCAAAGTTTGTTTTAGCTATTGTCGTTAGTCGAGCATAAAGGAGAGAAATGGGGAAGTCGAGTAAACATCGCGAGTGACATCGCGTTGTTAATCGCGTGAACGTCGAGTGAACTTGGTAAAGATGGGCGGTATTTAAGGTACATACTCTTGCATCCTTTCTTCCCCCTATCCTCTTCTTACTTCTAGTTTCTAGTTTCGGTATTAATAAAATTTAATAACGTCGTTAATACCGCGGAGAGAGAGTAACACAATGATCGAATTAAGCGTTACCTACTACTAGCTATTTCTTTGATACTTTAAGTTAAAACCTTCCTAAATCGTTGGAACGTTTGTAGTTGTAACGAGATTCATTCGCGAATATTCCAACTTTCATAAAACAAAGATTTTCTTTAGGCGAATTGGCAAGTTGATTTTTGGCGCGAAAAGGGATCATAGCTTTATCGTTACATCCTCGGTCTTTTAATTTAAACAATCCTGATTTCGCAGTGTTCTTAGTTTTCAGGATAAATTTGGACAAAAGCCACGGTTCGGTATTCTTAAAAAGTATCTCCGAATCTCTTAGGACGACTCATAGTTCATCAATGAATGTAGGTCGACGCGTGCTCGGAATTCGATTTTTCCTCGACTTTCGCGCTCGGTTTGTTTCTTTATAATTTCAATGAAAAAAAAAAAAAAATAATAAACGCCTCCATTTATAGAACTATGTATACGCATTTGTATATCGATACATAGGAAATTTGTAGAAATGCCGGTATTTGAAATATCTATTTGAAAATTTTCCTTGGACGGAAGATCCATCAGGATGGTCTTTATTCAGGAATGGGAAAAGAGAAAAATAAATAGAAACGTGTTTGGGCGATCTCGTAGAACGATACAGCGTTGAATAATTCATTTCTTATTCGAGCTTCGTAGATCATTCATAGGAACGCGTGGGTTTTATGAACTTGTGAAACTTTTTAAACGTATTGAAATTACCATCGGGAATGGTCGAGAGACTTTTCAATTATAAATTTTACAGGGATCTTCCAAGTATCTAACTAGTTATCAACATTGTATTAAGTTAGACAAAGTTTCCACGCGTGTATACCCATGCCGGACAGCAATATCCTTATTCCTTTCTTTTCTTGAGCCTGTTCTTTATTTTTTATAGAAAGAAAAAAAAAAAGAAAAAGAAGAAGAAACTTTTCAAGAAGACTCATCAACCACCGCGTTAACGTTCGATGCAACGAACTTGCTTCTATTATCTTTGCGATTACTTATTTCTTGTATATTATTGTTTATCAAAACAAAATGTCTAGCTATCCATCGTTGTTCCATCTTGGATTTAAACGATGAAAATATTTTCCTCGCGAGGATTATCGCGTCAACGTTTCTCGCCGAATGTTATCGTAAGCGGAAACGCTTAGAGGAGAAGAAAGTGTCGCAACGATCCATCTATGAGGAGATAATTATTTCAACCTCGGTCGTTCGCATAGAAAGGGAAATTAATATAGTTCCTTTTCAACGATCCCAGTGCGATTACGTATAGGAAGCAACGCCCTAATGGACCTAATGTATCTTACTCTACCGGTTGTTCTTCTGCGAACGCATATTCTGAGTGCGCGTATATGTCCACTATTCTCGCACATACTGCAAAACTGCTTTTTCCCTTACCAAGTCGACTAATTTCCGAGATACGCAATAGTCTATATATGATCTTTTTATTTATTTAGAAAATAAGAAGCCCTCGAGAATGGCGGGTAATGACATTTTTTCTTTAACGTTATCAATCAATTAAAAGTCGTACACGCGACGACGGCGCATAAAAAAGTGCGTAGAAAAGCTCGTAGGGAAATGCGTATCCCATCAACTTTTACCTTCTTTCTCTTTTCCTTTCAAACGCTTCCTGCTTTTTGCCCCTGGCGAGATACTTGGGTTACTAGAAAGTGGATAAAGGGTGACTCCGCGGGGAACGTATTTTCCTTTCACCTTCTCCTTTATGCTTCTTTTTATTTTTTTCCTTGTTCTCGTTACATCGCCGTGTAACCCGTCGACCCCGCCCCGCCTCCCCCCCAAAAAAAACTTTAGATCGTTCTTCGACTGTATTATTATTTTCCGGTCTATCTCCTTCTAAAATATACAGAGATAAATCTCAGTTACAGTTTATTCTCGAAAGAGCCATCGTAGATTTTCCTTCTACGAATATGACAATTTGCTGGAATACGATATTTTCAACTAATAATAATGATTCGCAAAGGAATCGTAAAATGTATCCATCGAATAACTTTTCCTACTCGAATTCGAGAAAATAAATTTACCTTTTCGCGATCTTATGATTTCCTTTCGAAGTTTTAATTAAGTTTTCTTTTTTCGGAGAAGGACGTACAAGAAAGAAGATTCCTGTTAGGGTGGATATTCCTTTGGTTTTTTCGTTCCCATCCTTTTTGCGAAAATGCAAAATCAAGTTTTACGAGGGTGGGTCATTTGGAAATATAATTCTTAATCCCTCGTTCCAAATTCTCGTTCCTTATCTTCTAACGGAACAACTGTTAGAAGACGAATATTTAGTGGTAGGTACTTGGCGCGATTGCGTTCTTAGCGATATCATCCTGATTTACATAATAAATGGCTCATACCACATTGATAATACGACTGTTCTACACACTCGACAGTGTTGTCGCGTCTAGGATTATTCCTTAGTATCTTTGCTTCTCTAGATATACTAGAAAGGATTTTCGTTCTTCTTGTTGGAAATAGGATAATTTTCCATTCTGCAGGATAGTTGTAAATGTCTATTCGAAGAGATCGAAGGAAAATAAAAAGGTAGAGCAATTAACTCGCGAAACAACGATCGTATAGTACCCAATTTACGAACTACTGGATTTGTTTGATAGCTAGACTATTTGGTTCATTAATTGTTCGCTAATTAGAACGAGTAAAAGAAGAAAGTTGAGAAGTATTGGTAGATGAATAATAACGGGGTACGATAAAGATATAATAGGTCATTGGGTGGTTGGTTGGTTTTATTCTCTGGATATAAATTCGAAGCTAAAGCAAGCGCAATTTTTGCTCGATTCCTGAAATTTCGCGTGATATCGATAGTAGCGAATAGACGAAAAGAATGTAATCGTAGAATGCTTGAAATACTCGAAGCATTATTATCGATTCGAGCGATTATTCTAGCATGGACATAGCGAGTGGAATAAAAAAGAATTCGCTATGTCGTATGAGGGAAAAGTAGGACAGGAAGCAATGTCAAATTGTGCGTGTTTCGCTTTTAGAGGAAAAAAGAA